AGAACCGAATATTTAGACGAATGTACCATCTAGTTCATCAAAGCGTTCCTGTTCTATTTCATATGAAGTCATTTGATCTTTGTTTCAAGCACAAAACGCCGCAGTGTGTGGTGCCATTATAGGTCAATCTAATTACGACATTCCACATCTTGATCAGAAGACAAAACGATGTCCTGCATTTGTTTTCTGTTGTGGTTTGCTTTGCGTTCGTATTCGACCCCGGTAGGAACGATGGATTTAGCGGCAGCGGTTCCGTCCGGTCGCTACTCCGTCGATTTTCAAGAACTGAACGTCTGCAGTATGTCGCAGCTGTGACAACAGCAGCAGCAGCAGGATCACGGCTAGAAGGGAAAGATGACGGCAACGACAATGGCGAAGCCTACGAAGGATGATGAAAAAAGATGATACGTGGTGCATCGCCGTTCCCCTCGGTTTCATGCGACAAAGAATGATCAAGGGAAAGCTGAGGGTAAGATGCGCTGGAGGATAGGCGCAAGGGGCAACGGTGGTACTGGCGATGCGCATGTAAAGCGATGAACGTTTGATAGCTGAGAACGAAGACGAGTGGCAGCAGAAGAAGGAGAAAGCTTCCACAAGACGTTTAATTAAGAATATTGTGTAAAAGCCGTTCACTAGCGGTTTTTTCTACTACTACATTCATTTTACTGAATCTCGAGCTGCTGCTGCTGCTTCCAGCTCTCCAGGTCGTTCTTTTGGACATAACCTAACCAACTACTTGTTCGATGCAGCTCAAGCTTACAGCTCAGTCATCCGTTTGCCCCGCAGCGGCAAATCGCTAAAGAAGACTGGACTGACAAGGGATAGATCTCAACATAGGCGGATGCCTTAGCGTTCTTCTTCGGATAGCGGATATGAATGGAAGACATCATTCTCTGTTCAGAATGTTTCGAGTCTGCCAAAGGTAGCTAGCCAAAGTCAGTGAAACGGGAATAGGCGAAAGCCGACCTCGCAATATCGATTGCGATTGCAGTGGTTGTTGTACGGGCAAATGATCCTCCCTAACGTCAAACTCTGACGAGGCTCAATTGAGTTAAGAGTGGGATACAAAGTGCTGTTGTTACAATCAAACTGAGGACTATACCCGCACACGGAGAGTGGGTTCAAGGAAGAAGTTGGATAAGCTCACTTCAGCTTCACACACAGCTTCAGCGCTAAGAAGTCTTCGAAAACAAGTTGTTGAAATAAATGACCTTCGTATAAAATACGCACACAGTACTCACGGATGGAGTCCAAACCAAAGCTCATATAGGTTAACTATACATACACACGAACAGCGTATTGGCACCGATACTCAACTCTAGTCGCTGCTAAGACTGTCGCAGCTTCCCAGTGTGTAACCATTATGCCACTATCCGAACACGGCGAAGAGTCTGCTACGCCAATGAACAATTGCGAACAATATGAGCCGGCACTTCGTCTCAACGAATTCTATCCTGGCAAGACACACTACCATTGCTGGTACTGCTGCTTAAGGGTGGCATACTACATGTACTCTGTTGACTGCATTCGTGCACAGCAAGAGGGATGTCTGTAGCGGACGCAGCCTCGGGGAGACTTAATGTATAGGAGGTCTGGCGACAAGTATTAACTACTGTCTGCACTTACTGTTACTCTCCCTACTGCTGATACAACGACGTTCTTCAGACTCTCGGATTCTTCTGCCTCTCAAAACCCTCACCTTTCCCAAAGCCAAAAACGTGCGAGGACAGCCGTGCGGAACGGACCTTTTTCGGATGACTGGCAACTGGCCAAATACACCCCACTCGGGCGAGGCATATCCATTTAGCGCTACTTGGTAGCAAGGGGACTGGCATATAATTACGCTCGCGGCAAATAGATTAAGGCACGACAGGATAGAGGATGCGGGATATATATGTACATGTGTGTATATAATAATAATTTGACGTTTCATAAAATCTAGAAATGCTACGTACATTAAACAGACAATAAACAGTTCTCAGTTTTCTGAGTGTTGTTCAAGCGACATACTGGCACACCGATTTACGGAATAAATTTAAAATTGGGTGAGGTTTTGTTTTTCATGTTTTTTTGTTTGTTGAAGTTACGGTGTGCAAATGCACGTTCCGCTAAATAGTGGTATATTTATGTGCAGCTCCTAAAGATTGAGGGAGTTTCTAGTAAAACGCTGTGATGAGCAATTATAACTGGGAAAGTTAGAACTTAAACAGTTTTAATAAACTTGTATTGCAACGTGCATACGCATACGTAAGGTCAAATAGACATATTCGTCTGGTACTACAGTGCAAGCATGTACCAGACTTAAAATTGGAATTTGATTCCGACAGCGGCGAAAGTTCTCTCATTGTATAAACCCTATTTCGAATAGTGTTCAGGAGAGCCAACAAGGAAAAGACTTCTGAATTCGTCTTCGTGGGCCTAGTGAGCCTGAAGCTTATGTACAAAATTCATCCGACCTGTTCGCTAATTTAAATTATAAATGTATGTAAACTCATGACGTCGACAGGGCAGAACTACCGTGTTGCAAATCGCGCATCGAGCTTTTGGCTTTCTCTCCATTAGGGCTGAACAAGAACCAGAAGAAAAGACTAAGTAGGTCTGAATGGACTGACCGCCCACGTCTATTACTTGGGGATCGCCTCATCGACTAGGACAAGGTAAAAGAAGGAGCTTGAACCAAGCAACAGCCGAGGCGGCGGCCTTTTGTACATCGTTTACTCCGAATTTCGTGGTTCAATTACGCATTTGCTATACAACTATGCACTTTTCACAGTTTTTCTAGCTCACCACAGTTTGGCGCCTTACTATTATCCCGGAGGTTTCTGTCTTTCCTATGCAAACTGTTTGTTTTCCTCCTAGCAGTTAAGGGCCTGTTTCTCTGTTAAACATCGTGCCTCCAGCGTCCTAAGGGACGTACCGTACGAAAGGTGTACAGTGAAAGCGGGCATAGGGAACGCGGGGCAGTAGTAGCTGTTTGAAGGACACGACAGGCATTCCTTGAGTATCAAAGCGAAAGAGATTTATTTGAAAGCACCTTAAGAGTTGCCGTTCGTGCTACTCAAGTCATCGTTATATATTAGGCATGCTTTGGGTTGAATCCTGCTTTAGGAGTTATTTCTTTCTGGCACGGACAAAGGCATGACTAGGGACGTTGAGCACATGATAGTATTGTTCATAGCAAGTGGGGTGTCTCTTTGGCTCCCAGGGGACATCACCAGCTGGCGTTGGTAGAAGGGTGCACAGCGGACGCAGAGGCCGGGTGTTTAAGCCAATGCCAATGACGGTCACAGAAGAGCGCTCCATCAAGTGACGATTCCTATGTAGACGATAAAACGAGAAATTTAGGGTTGGTGGCTATGAAAAAGCTAGGGACGGCATGGAGAAACACGTGTAGACATGCACCAGGTTTTAAGTCCTGTTCAGGTGAACGCAGTCGAAGCAACAGACGATGACCGGACACCAGTGACTTGCACACAGTGACTGACAAAGTAGTCGGTGGCAAGGAGACGACCGAACATGCACACTGTCTATTCTGTTTGTGGATAGTCTAACAGCTGATCCGAACAGCTGAATTATGCTTGGAACCAACCGTTTCTTTGCCTAGCGCTGTAATTTCTGCTATCGCTAGACGTAAAGAAGTGGGTTCCTTTTTCTCGTTAGCCGACCATTGCGAGCATTTCCTGCAACATAGTCATGAAGATAATATGGGTGGTGTTTGCGCAGGATTGACATATGGAGGCATTAGTCTAATCAAAACTTATCTTAGGCCTCACCAATTGAATAACGTTTGACAAATGTCCAAAGGCTAGACATAGTTGGGGGCTTTTATAACAGAGTGGGGTGCCTATGAATAAAACTATTGCAGCTCATTGGGTTGTCATAAGGCTGGACTAAGAAGAGGAGTCGATGAATGCTATTCGCCTAAAGCTATAAGAGTTTATTTCGCTTGGCCGCGGAAGGCGACTTGGAACACCTTCGTCCGGCGGGGAATAAATTTCTCTTTAAAGCGTGCCCCTAGCGTATGGGCTTTTTCTCGCGAAGATCACAAATATAGCCGTGAATAGTTGTTCAATGGTGCTACCTTGGTTTGTGTCCACCGGAGACCGTATAACGGAGCCTTTGAGAGTGTGTGTAGATTATAAATAACGATACTCTCTAATCATCTATCCATTATGGATTACGCAATGTTATACTGTGTCGTATATAGGTCTAGAAAACAAAAGAGACGAGGAACTAGTCCACTAACACTTTAACCATTTAGACGATCAGTATTTGTGCTTTGTTTTGTATTATACTCATCACTGATGTAGCATTGACGATTCTCGTTATATATGGCCAACACCGATGTGACTAGCTTGGGTTCCTTTGCGCGAAATCCAAAAAAACATTGTGTTTCTGTTCAGATTCATATTTGCCTCTTGAGATTTGGTAACTAATCGCCATGCACTTAGGATATTAACTAGATAAAGCGTAGTCTAAAATTATATGGGTATCGATGAATTACTATGACAAACTTACTTATCTTTGACACCCCATAAAACACTTGCAAAAGTAAACCCATTGATGCCTCGCAAAGTGTGTTGCCGACGATTGCACACTAATGATGTTCTTTTTGGAGCTACAGGGGCCACGAGTACAACAATGGTATGAGTCGCCTAAGTAGTAGACCGCTGTTTCAAGTTAAGTGTATACTACTGTAACTTGTGTAATAGCTAAATAAATATAACATATCAGACCGTATTGTGAAGACATTGTCCTACAGTGGCCTTTGGCATCGGTTCTTCAGATCCATGTTTAGGTTTAACACATCATCAAATTTTTTATTTAAATAATCCCATTGTTTTTTACACCGATTGGTTTGATGGTCTTTCTAGCCACATGGATCGTATCCAATACGTTCGATATTGCTCACAGAACAGAAATGTCTACCTTTAATGACTATAATAATTATCATGATAGCGTCATAACAATGGTCATATTGAAACAAATTTACTCAACTCTTCATCATACAGTACAGTTATTCTGTTCTTGTTTTTATTTTCCACTAAGAATAACATAAATATTACAACTGCTGATATCATCTTCATGTGTTTCTATGTACCTTCGAATCATTGTCTTCTGGCTCAGTCGTATTGTACGGTGAAAACTTCCGACATTATAGCTGGATTTTCTACCGTTATGCTTATACACTAGATATATACATGGGGGCATATGTATCATTGTGTAACGTGGTCCATGTTAAAACAGCTGGTTCGACCTGATTTAGGCGTAGAGATACGGATTAGCTTATCTCGTACTAGGTACTCGGATATGTGCTATTGATACTTAGAGAGATAATCATGCTTGGCCTACAAAATGCATTTGTACAATGCGTAATGATGAGATATCAAAAATGAAAGAAATAACCCAACAGGAAGCCCCAAAATGCGGCATACAGAACAATGAAAAGTTATCTGAGACTGGAACGTGTTCGTGACATCATATATCTGGATCGCATTCTATTGGTGCTCTGTCGGCTTTGTCTAGCGCGATTGGTGAGTCATTGATGACTTCAGAAAACGGTCGAAATATTCTTTCAACGACTTCTCTTTTCGATCGAAAGGACAAAATTTTACTGCTTTAATGACGTTTAGCGAACGGCCCCAGGCAACTCTCGATTGTTCTTTTCTAGGATTACGTAAAAGGGATTTTATATTTCTTACTGATTTAATGAACGTATATAGAGACGTTTCAACTAGTGCAAATTGTTGATAGGGGGTGGGATATAATATAGGGAAATTGGGCAAGCCTGATGCGTGACTTACGGTGAGCGAGGACTAATAATGATGATAGCTTAGTTAACGAACGAATCCAAAGCCGTAAAACACTGGTTCGGTTGTATGCTGTCTCCGTTGGCACGGCCAGTATCACAACACAACAAAACAGAAAAATAAATGCAAAACATTTGGCTGTCTTTCGCTTTCAGTCTGCTCGCGAAGAGGGTTACATAAGATGTCTCTGTATATAGGACTTTATAGCATGGTCCCCTTGCAACGTTTCTATCTTCTCGTTGTTTCGTTTACACATATCAATTAGGTGTAAATATCTGATCCGCTTTCATCTATCTGACACGCGTCGGCTGTTATGAATTAAATTGACGATTGTAACAATTTAAAAAAAATAGACAGTAATGTTAGCCAAAGTAATCCTGTTACACAACAGTATGCATTTTGTTTGTGAAGGCCTAGATAAACAACATAGTTAGGACAATAACCTAAATTACTAAATATTACAATATTTCCATTTACAATATTGAAATTACGATCAATTACGCTGTCTCGTACACGACGATGTCAGCGCCCAATATAGGTATGAGCAACTCGTTTGCCAACAGTTCGTCGACAACCATCGCATCTTGACTTGAACCCTTCTTCTTAATTACATAATTAACGATTAACCCTAAACACGATACAGACCAAAAGCAAAAATAGGGACGTTTTTACCGTGGATGGTTACTCTTTCTGTTTAATTTCGGAGATCAACCAACCAATACGGCTCTCTTCTGTTTTATGGCCGAGGAGTGGTCCTACGGTGCTGATCAACTCGCCAGCCATCTTTAGAGATGGACGACCCTGGGCGAGTCGGTCAGGGACACGCCCGAAACGCTGCTGGTGGCCGAATAGCCATTTTCCTTGGCTTTGGCCATGCTATTGAGATACTCTTGCAGCAGGACAGAAAGCACGTTCGAGTGGTTTGAACAATCGATGGAGTTACGATGTTCCTGCGGCTCCGGGGTCGGAGTACGGTTAGGAGTTATACTCGATGAACTCCCTGAAATGGATAGTCAACAAAGAAACACAGTATACAATCGTACACGCGCACAAGGTATACCTTATAGGTGAACAGAACAGTACGGTGTAATGGAACATACTGGAATTGATTGGGGGTGCAACTATATATATACACACATATATGCATCGCCAATCAATAGTCATAATATCGTCGACCCTAATCTTCAAGAAAGGTATGATTATAACCGTAATGTCCTTCATATAAACCACTGAACATGTACGATCACCGACAATTGCACATGCACGCTTCTAGTAGTTGATAACAACGGATTAATTTCTATATGATACCAATATATTGGGATGTTTTCAAATCATTTGGTCAAAGCCACATCTAAATAAGAACAGATATTTGGATGCAATTTTTGCACGTATATAAGATCAACGTGTGTTAATTATGTGAGTTATGTAATATTCTATTCTGGCCGGAAATATCGTACAAACATACGTAAATAACAACAAAATACCTGTAGAAACATAAAAGATCATACCAAGTTCAGTCCTAATCGATATAATCATACTGCCGCTAATGTCAGGTATTGCTTGATATGTGAGCCTACATACATCTCGAAATTCATGAACAATGTATAATATCAGCCCTAGTTGTAAGTTAATCTATGATATCTACAATATGCCTACTTCATTCTACGCTTTGTTTTGCCCTCAGTCTATAGGCTCTATAGAACATTCGCTACGCTTCTTGCTTACGAGACAAATACCTTGTGCACAGGGATAGTGAGGATCTGCCCTGAAACGCAAGACAGGGAGGGGGAAGTTTTTTAGTTTATAGTTTGATTTAGCATAATTAGATTATTATTAGTTTATCTGGCTTTATCGTTTTATATGACGGTGATGATGATGATAACGGTTAGAATGAAGTTTATGGCGTATCTCCACAGTTCATTTTGTTCTCTCGTATCTGCTTTCCTACATAATCGATTTGCTCTCTTCAGTTTATGATGGTTATTATTTGAATTATCTAATTACTGCGTAATAGGCGTTGTGTGTAAATTTTGCAGATTGCTGCTATAGACTACGGGATATACTTATGGCGTGACGTACCGAGGCCGGCGTCAGCCACTGAAATCCCTGAAGAGAAAAAGGAGCATTTTAAGGCAAGTCAGAGATAAAAAAAAAAGGCTTCTGTTGTCGTTATGGGCTTGACCTGTTTTTCTAATCTGGTCTAGGGGTCTACAATTTCACATTGTTTTTAGCAGAACTTTTGCTTCGATGTTATCTAGAAACTGTGCTCTCTATGGCTACGTACGAAAGCTATAGCAGCTTATCGCCACTGGCAAGAGCCTGGCGGCTACAGAGCTGTAGTAATCTCGCACCGTTTTTATATGTATTTAATTTTCTCGACCTCGAAGATTTCCAGTCAGTATTGACTTGTCTTCGTTTTAATGCCTATGCTATTAGCAGTATCAAGTGGAACCTTGCCAAGGTTTACGGCGGTTTCCGTCACCTTTCGGCCTGTCTTTTTTGGCCCGTTTTACGCTGGTACAGAGGTCTGCTTCAGGCAGAGCGCTGCAGTACCGCTTCTGCCAGCTGGCCAAGCTTCATTAGACCATTTGCTCTAATGAGTTAAGTACTGTATCTTTGCCATTGCGGTTCTTCTAACAGATACGTAGACACAGTTGTAGTTCGCTCTTGGTATAATGGGAAAAACATTATTTTTTTGATATTCTTTTTGTTGCTGCTGTTGCTATTATCGCTGTGTACCTATACCTGTGTACCTGTGTGTGTATATACGCTGTGTGTGTAGAGATACACTTTCTGTAATCACTTTAGAAAGCAGGATTAGGTTGAGCCGTAGAACAACTAGAAACCTGAGCTGGGCCGTGAATGGTTGCTCCTTGAGAAAGCAGAAACTTTGGGCTAGATAGAGTCTATCGAGACCGTTTCGTCTTCCTGAGTCATTCGCAGCAGATGGTTAAAGATTGTCAAGTAAGTGAGTCTTCTTGGTATTATTGGCATCTTCTTATTAGATACAAGTAAACTATTACACAGTTTCATTTAAATAAGCCAAAGTATCCCGTTCGGAAGGCTCAGATTCAAGGATCTATCAGGCTGTAGTCGGAGCGACTTACTAACCAGGAAGTATCCCGTTCAGGATGAGATAGAGCGGTTGTCATTTGAGGAGAACGTCAATAAGTAGTAGATAGTACTACGAGGCGATCTTTTTGCCTCTAACATATAAGCACATCTTGGTTCGAATACACGCGTTTGGCTACTCAGCCATTGAAAACGTTATGTTAGAATGCACGCACTACAGTTCTATTAGATTAAGCGTTGCCTAGTGTTTACATAGCTTGCTTTAATTATCTTAATGAAGCCATAAAAATATCTCTGTCATTTCGTGAAAGGTACTTAACACTTTTCCTTTTCTGTTCAAAGTTTAATATGTATAGTAGCTATTACACGATGTCAAAGTTATATTTCTATTGTGCATATATAGTTGACATCAATCATTCCCTCACGGTGAACACTTTACGATAGCGAGCACCAATTCGAGCAGAGGGTTCAAGCATACATTTTGACGAAGTGCGTAAAACGGTAACGTACGTTACTTTGCGTAAAACGGTAACGTAAATAGAGGAATACAGTGTTTAATATAAGTTACTATGGTTTCTCCTTGTGTTTTCTCCTATTGTCGGGAACGTTTCGCTTTATGTAATCCAAGCCTTCCTGTCTACTATACAGGCGTTTGCCTATTTTCGAGTTCTAAGTCTGACGGTCATATTGAGAGATCTCTTTGTCGGATGATGGCCGTGCTACGGGCTTAGTCACACTGTATTTGTAAGCTGAAATGAGCTGAATGCTGTTCTCCTGTTTCGTTAATCGATTCTGTACCAACGCAGCGTCTATGACTGCGTTTGGCTGACGTCAGTCAAACGCTTTAGGAGCAATTGCTTAAAAGCGGAGCTCAAGCATACTAGTGCGTGGTAGCTTACTAGTAAGCTATACCATACGGAGTCGCCTCTGACTAACGTGAAACGTCATCATGGCGCTACCCTATTCAGCATATAATTTACAGTTAAAATGATAAATTTTATGGTTTGACGACATAGTTAGGACAGTGGCGCGGAATCTTTGTCTCGAAATTTGAAATTGCTTTACCATCACCGTAGAAAATCATACACGAACGTCTCAACACCGTGAACGAGGCTGACTTGCAAAGCACTAAGATTATCTCTCAATATACGGTTATTACGTAAATATCTGTTTAGGCATATTGTCACATGTTTGCTTGTCATCCAGGCCGTGAAGAGCAACTAGGCGCAAAATGGTTGACGTTTTTCTGTTTTATGGCCTTGCTAGTCCAGTAACAGACAGGCAGTTAGTTTGTCATGACCAGTGGTTGCGTTATAGTCGTACGGTTATTTCTATAACCGGATCGTTTCCGCTACGAGTTCCCATATCAATTGTCTAGCCAATTATTGCTAAGATACTCCATCTATTTAGACAAATTTTAGATCCATATACTTATTATACGTCCGGAGAAAGACTTGCTTACCTTCACTAAACTCCGGAGGTGGCTGAAATACTTCAGGTGTTGGTGGGACTACCTGAATGCCAACAGATTGCATTTCACGTAAAGTAGGGCCTGAAGTAATTGCACTCGAGTGAGGAAACTGTGAGCTTGTCGTAGTGGCCACCTGCGCACACGCAAATTTATAAACTATAATAGAACGATCTTCTGCACACACGTGGTGTGGAAGGCAACAATATATAGATCTTCAATATCAATTGATCACGATCCTTCGATAGATACAATTTTCTTTCATGAATTTTGCATCGAAAGAGAAAAGTGAATTTGTCTTATTCAAACACGAGCGTCATTTTTGCTTAGACACCTTTGGCTGTTAAACTAATGGTGATCATTAAAAAGAGCAAGCATGGTAAGTAAGATCGGTCCTGACTCATACGATCATTAGCATTATCAGCAATAGTTGACGTCATCCTTCCGTAATAAAACAATCTGTTGGGCGAGATTGATTGTGCGCATTGCCAGATAAGCCAACGTGCACCTAGGGATTTAGGTACAAGAATATTGTGGCCCGTCCAAATATCTCAAGTCTTTCCTTACTTTGATGGAACTTCGAGACCGTTTCCTTTTAAGGGATTCCCTCAGCTTGTTGACTGCTTCTTCGTTGTCTGTAACACAGCACGCATAGTAAAACAGAGAGGCTCCCACCACGAAGAATACAGAAAAGATCGCCAGCACAAACACCGTTTCCGCTTCCATGACGTCTGCAATAGACAAAACACAGTAGGGTTAACGATCCGAGGACCACGTCTAACTTGGTAAAACTAACAACGAATATAATATATACTGCTACCAGCGGTAATAACACTTTCAAACGAATACGACGCTGAGGTTTCGCTAGTGGAGAGAACACATACGAGTTCGTTGCTACGAGGACTTTTTGAGTATCAACGAAGCTACCAGAGTATCCACTGAAAATAGATTCACTTCAACCAAGACTGTATCCGTCTTAAATAAAACCTCTTCGTTTCACACCTTAAAGTTAGACGCCTTAAACGGATACGAGTTCGAATACTAATTCTCTTCCACTGTATTGCATCAAGCCACTTTACACGTCGTTCTCGATTTCACCTATTGATTACGAAATGTCCACCAGTCGCTCAACGGTCGACTGGTGGCTGGCCAGTCGATATAGAATGCCGCCATTATCACAGACAAATGCCTCGAACGTATATATATATGCACTTGTACGGGTTGTTGTTCTTGGTCAAAAACGGGTTCTGTCTTTGTGATATCGATCTTAGCGCCAGTCTAATACACACGGACGGAGCTAGACAAAATCGTTAGGTTCGCCTTCGCGGGCGATGCAGACGGAAACCGTCCACGAATCTCGCAGCAGATATAACGGCAATTTGAAGGTGTTTCGAGCGGATGAAGGTCACACCTTTTTCGGCTTCCCTGCGTTTCTTTGATGCTGCCACTGAGCCAGTCGAATCCGCTCTTCCAGTTAATCAGACAATCACCCGAAACCTGAATCCAATTGCCAATTGCTATCTATCTGGCTGTCTCACCGCACTCCATACTGAGATCACGATCTGGAGTGTGTAGCACGTTTGCCTGAAGCGCCCGTCATGACGGAGCTGTTAGTGGCTCACATAGAAAACCTGTCGAACTAGCAGTTCAGATACAGCGGCAGAGGCTAGTAATGGCAACATGCTATATGCTGTGACATAGGTTGTGAACGTGCAGTAATCATCGATAGTTCGTTTGACGTCAAAACATGGGCGTGCCATAAACCGCTAACTTTTTACTGGCCGATGTAGTCTTGATGCACGTTTATTACGAGAACATGATACACTTTAGAGGAAAGAATCGTATGAGACATCATACATCGTTCATAATCATTATTATTTTGGCGACACGCCGGCGGAAATCCTTCAAAATGGCCTCGGATAGGACTTGACTGTATAGGACAAAAATAACAACAACAACAAAAACAATAATCGGCAATAACAACACAACAGAAGAAACACCAATAAGGGCAGGGAAACGACCACGGACTTTTCTTGTCGGTCGCTTCATAGTTGTCCTCGTACTAGTATGTAGTTTCAATGGGATTAGTCCAAACAAGTGACGTGTGTAAACAGGCGGGACAAGGCAAAACCACTATCGCCTGGGTGCAAAGTAGAAATGTTTAGCGCGGCTGCAGAGCTGTCACTTACAGGAACGAGGGGCTTCGGCTGTCAGTAACTGACGGAACGAGTGGTGCAGGGCGTGGTTTTCGTCTGTATATCGAGGCGCATAGATGTATACAGAGGAAAAATACATTATGAATAAAGGGAAGACTAAGTGGGGCAACGCATGGACATTTCCCTCGTCGTATGCGTAAATATTACACGTCTACAGAACGTAAGTAAGGCGATATAGGCGATTGTGTGTGGATGCAATATAGGAATGGCAATTAATGCAGGTTGATGCCGTGCCTTTTGTAGGATCCGACGCACTAATGATAAATCATAGGTAACGTGTTATTTACCGAACAAGCAGTGTCAATAAAAAACTAATATTGCGCAGATAGAATTACGAGCAGCTTCTTTTCCAGAATCGTGGAAAAACGACGACCGGAAGTTCTAGCTGTTAAAACATTTCGCTTATCGCTGACGATTCGATGAAAGGTAACTGGGCAAAACGAACGGCAGAACGAGATCGAAGTAGAGAGAGAAACGTTAGGTTTAGTAATATAGATTAATATGAAATTTGTGCGACTATACCCATTTTTGTACAGAAAATACGGTAGTTCTCATATAAGTTGTTGCTCATTAAAAAATGGTTAATCAAAAGCAAGTTTAAATGCAAGATAGCCTAGAATACTGAGCGCAAAGGTTTGTTTGAATGCACACTATTCATTAAGACTAGCATATGATACATAATACTAACATATATATATTCTAGACGCGATACTTATTCCGAGACGATCTCGTCGCGGGAATTCAGTAATATTATGTACTTCATTCCCATTGGAAAGGCCTGTTGTTTTTATTTTTTTCTCATGAAAACAGGATATCAGGTAAATTTAATGGTCTTCGTTCTTCTCATATGTAACATACATACAGAAGTAAAGTAACGCTCAGGCTTGAATAGTAGTGGATGTCCTAACAGAATTTTGCGCATGAAATACATTGTGCATATTAGGTTTTAACATCCACGTGATGGCAACAGCTGTCTTTTAGCTATCTTGGTAAAATTGATTCGCACGATGGAACAATCTTGAGTTTTTCATCGTGACCTGATCGTTTTCATATAAAATTACCCGCAAATACTCTGCTATAGATTGTCTATATTCATGTATATGTGTCTAGCTTGTTGTTATGTTCTACCGCTATTATTCCCTCGCTGCCTTTTTCGAAACTCGTGAGAAATTGAGCTACATGTCCTAGAAACTATTAATAACGCATAGTTTAAAAAACGTCCTCCGCGTTTATCTGATTAGCAGGCCTTTGCCTGTCGATGACCTTCTAGGACGTCATTTATGATGACCTTTATCTTCGATGTTGCTCAAATAAGCTGAGAGCAGTGCTTCTGGCCTAACACACCCACACACACACACACACACGATAGCAGTTTCCATAGGCTGATTTTAGCCGTTAAAATTCCAATCGAATTATGTTGAAACACTCGTTCGATGGCTATACTAGCGGAATCAGATGTCCTACATCTTTCCATATTCGAAGTTTCATCTCTGGGGAACCGAACATATGTAACGCTCAGACCATGCAGTGCAAAACTTTAAAGAGAAATGGATTTATCCCATATGGATGAACCATAGGTAAGCCGTATTTACCCTGTTGGATCTGAAGATGCATGTTTGCAGCTCATTCGAAGACGCAGACGGTGTTTGCGATTGACCGACCATCTGCGTATGTCCGACCTTTTAGTAAGTTTTCGTTCCCCAGTGCTGCACTACTCAACAAACCAAAAATTTTCTGTTCCATGCAGGTGCTCGGCTATGGGTTTACATTCGCTCAAAGTCGTTATAGGCAAATATGTTTATAATATATAACAAAATCCAAGTCAAATGCTAGGGTCATAAACAAAGATCGTAACGCGCGTCTTCGAATGCGTCTCAAGTTCTGCTTTGCTTTTATGGAATAGACAGACTAACTCTCTCTAGCTTTGCCACTTACGAATACGGCTTGGCGTTTTCTACAATTCTTCTAGCTATAAAAGGTACAGCAGTACAGAAACACGAAATCATTTAACGACTGTATGCATGTAATTGTTCCTTTTCTACGACTGTCTAGAATAAAGATGTGTTGTCGAACGGAGCATTGCTTTATGGTCATTACTATAAGGCCGCCTGATCTGGTACCAGATGCGCCATCCGCATTTACTCCCCAACCGATTATATTCCGTACCGCATGTTTCCGGCTTTTTTTTATTTACGCTTCGTGTTTTTCTCTGTTCATTTCAGTTAGTTCCACTTCCACTTTAAGCACGAGTATTCATACTTCGCGTATACATTACGTATGCATTACGGCAGTTTTTGTCCATGAGAGATGCCGCCGTCGTATTCTTTCTTCCTTTTCTCCCACTTTCCTTCTTCGTTCTGTCGGCGTCGTCCTCTACTGTATACGTGTTCCACTACTCGGTCCATTTCGCATATCTATGTCGTCCTTTCGGTCTCTCGTTCGCTGGTTTTCCGGCCGCGCGGATTGGCCGCTAGCTGGCCCACTTCCCTAGTGCAACGTTAGCGGCTTTTCCGCCCTTCAGTTGTAGCAGTTGTGGTAGGAGGAGACCAGCAATCCAACCCTTGTCTCCTTCCAATTCTAACCCTCCTATCGTACCGATGTCCCTCCTCCAGTGACCGACACCGTTCTATTTGGTCGGTGGTCGTCAAAATGAACGGGCGAACGATCGATAGAGGCAGGCGAACAGGGTCGCATTATTTTTCTCAGGAAAAGGACGCTCCGAGGAAATGGGTAAGACAAAGTTTAGGGTGACTGGGAAGAAGGCAAAGCATTTCTTTGATTCATTCGTCTGCTGAACGTTTCCCCAGCAGCAGCGGGAGCAATGGTAAGAGCAGCAAAAGTGAAGAGCGTTCAGATACGTAGGTTAGAAAGGCTCTCGGCTTGGCGAGAGACACCGTTCAGACGTTTGGCGCTTTGTTGTTGGTGCTACTACTAAGCTGCTACGGTTTGCTGCTGATGCTGCTGCTGCTGCTGCTTTTCCCGTAATGCTGAGGGCCGACGGAGACGACAAAGCCCCTGAACCCTGACCGCCTGCCCCTGTCGAGCAAAGATACGCTGCAGCCACACAGACGTAAATAACATAGCTAGGGCGAATGCAGAGAGCATTGGTAAAAGACAATTCGATTTTTATGGAAGCGGTCGCCTATGGTCGCGGGGCTTGCTTCACTTTGGCCATTGCTGACGTTGGAATCCTAGTCTTCGTCTTATAATTTGACAATGTAATTCATTCATTTTTCATCCATCAGTTTGTTGCTTACTGTGTTCTGCCTCCTGGCGTTTTTCTCAGGCTGCTTTTTTCTAAATTGTGCTTCTTCAGCATCAAGAGCATCAGAAGGAGTTGCAGTGGCCTCCCTGCCGAATCCTTCTTTTGTCCTTTTCCCTGTTTGCCCTTCTATATTTTTTATGACTACTTTGCCCGGATCACAAGTTGACCGAGTCAGGCTTGTCTACTGCTTTAGTTCATGTTCACTTGAAGAACGTTGCTACGATCGTCTCAGTTTCCTGAATGACAGGCAGAGAAGCTAATGCTTGTGATGGCCCTATTTGCTTCCGCCTACTGTGTAGGTCAGTAACTGTTCGAATGCGTCATAGCGGTTGGACGAAGTCGCGGATGCCGCAAGGGTGCGCGGATTAAACTCAGGCGCGGGAAAGGCGCACGTGGCCGAAGCCATCTTTCCAAGCTGCCGCAATCACGGTAATCACCGAACTCTACTTCATCAGCTCTAGTAGTGGGCTCGCTTTGTCGTTTATCGAAATGGAAACAACCGCTGCAATGACCAGGCAGTTCGACAACGTATGCGCATCTATAATAAAACTATCTTCAATACATTGTGTAGTATATGCTAGCTCGTCCCGTTAACTACATTGAGTCAAAAAGAAGCACTGCGGTCAGGAGCGTGCGTTGAGATCTTTACTGGTCAATATTTGCTAGAAGGAAAATTTTTTCTGTTGGCACGCGATATAAATGAAGTAAAAAAGTAAGTTTACCCTGCATTGAAATAATACACCACGTGTTTCCGTTGCGATTGCCACATACGGGCAGGATGTCGAGCAAATAAGTCGTATTTGCGTCGACACTCGTGCCTTGTCACTGCAACTGTTGTCAGCGAGAGGAGGACAAATCGTTCTAAGCGGCTTGCGGAAAGACTTGTAGATGCGGAACTTCGTGATGCTGCAGTGATAGCGTATCTGTCTATTAAGCCTAAAGAGGCGTAAGGTGGTCTAAGGCCAAATTCACACGTAGGCACATTTTGTATCGTCTTGAAAAGGGGCAGCGGCGTCCGAATGTTTAACGGTAGTGGCACTGACGTAAAACTCCAAGTGTCTATTCCAGTGAACACGACGATGGATTCTCAATGAATAAGCAAGTTGCAAGACTGAGATCTGTCACAGAGTATTTGACAGCGATTCACGGAAGGAGTCACGTTGCTATCGAAGTTACCAGTTCCTAACCACTCGAAGTCTGGGCAAAAAAATAAGAGTTCTGAGACAGTGGTGAACGTTTCGGTTGATCTCATAAACATCTGTTCGGGATGGCTGATGGCGTGTTTCGAACTAGGTCCAACCGATTACTGATTCGAATAATTTGTAGGCTGCACGGCGACATCGAATGAGTTAGGGGTTTGTCTATTTTAGCGGTTTCGATGAAGTATATACTATACACGCCCCCGAAGTGATGACAAAAATTCATCTACAAAAATAATTTGTGCTACAGTACCGAGCTGTGGTTGCTGCTCGAGGTGTTTCTAGTAGAAACCTAAAAATTGTGCGAATATAGTTCCCTGAACCACTTTACCGTGCTCTACGCGTTCCGTCTTCAGTTTAATATAAGATATAAATACAATAATTAGGTGAGAGTGAGAAGTCACAGAATAAAATTGTATTTGTGACGATATTAGTGGATCGGTACTGCCAGTAGAAGCATAAGGGATGCCGTTAGGCTGTGACAGGCCAACTCATTGAAAGGGTCAGATGTTGTTTACTATTTCATTTAGCGAAAAAGGAAAAACGTGGAACAACGAGTGGCTAACTCGGATCCAAGAAACTAAGCTCTTCTGTTCTGTTCTTCAGGTTGGATTCTTGCATTGACCACTACCCACTCAGTGTTCTGTTCGCCTTCTGATTCCACCTGGAGAAAAGGCCATGAAAAAAAGGTGTGCGTTACACGTCCAGCGTCCGCTTTTTACTGGCTGCTTCCTTTAGACCTATCAAATCGAAAATGGGGACTATAGTAAAGAGTAGCCTTATCCCAACGGCAGCAGTTGTCACTATTCGCTAAGGAAGCCGCTCTGCCTACCACGATCAACCGTGATAGAAGCCAACCCGACCCCCAGTGCGGTGTACCTATGTTTGTGTGAAGGTGACCGCCGCCGTTACGTCTACTGAAGTGAACCGACCAGACGATAACCGTGTCGAGACATCAGGCCGACATCAATGGGCTGGTGCAGCAGCAGTTTCAGAAACGGGTGCAGCACTAACGCTTGGCCACGTTAGCCTGCTCAGCTGGTCTCGGCTTCCATTAAGTGTTTTTAGAGATCGCAATCGCTACCGCTCTCACTTGCGGCACTCTGTGCTAGGACGAGACGTGAAGTAAAAGAGAGCAAGAGCGT